TAGCGCATCCCTGTAATTCTGGCTACTTGGAAGTCTGAGGCAGAAGGATCGCTGGAGCCCAGCAGGTCGAGGCTGCGGTGGCCGGGAGCGGCCATTGCACTCCAGTCTGGGCGACAGAGTGAGACTCCAACTCAAAAAAAAAAAGAACATAAGTTGTTACTTGTTATTCACATGCACGTATTTCTGTTGGAGGTTGTACTCAAACAGAATGAGTAGCTTCATTTAAAATATTCAAATGAGCCAGGCTCCGTGGCTCAGCCTGTAGTCCCGTGCCTTTGGGAGGCTGAGGTGAGTGGATTGCCTGAGCCCGCGGGTTCGAGACCCGCCTGGGCAGCGAGACCTCATGTCTACAATCAATCAAAAAATCAGCCGGGCGTGGTAGCGCACGCCTGTAGTTTCGGCTATTTGGAAGGCTGAGGCGGAAGGATCGCCGGAGCCCAGCAGGTCAGGGCTGTGGTGGCCGGGAGCGGCCATTGCACTCCAGTCTGGGCGACAAAGTGAAACTCCAACTCAAAAATAAATAAATAAATAAATAAATAATCAACTGGAGAGATCCAGAAATTTTATCCTAAGTTAGAGAATGCTAAGATGAGGCAGATTAATGCATAGATTTGAATACTTAAATAGCCTAGAAGTATGTGTTTACTTTGTGTTACGAGTGAGAGAAAAATGATCAACTTCATAAGTGTGGCAAAAGTTGTGGAATTCTGCGTGATGCAGGACTTAGAGCAATTAATTCTTTTTTGTTTTTAGTTTGCAGTGAGGGAGAATTGAAAACATACCTTGCTGTGCCCTGTACAGATCTAACATAATTTTGTTTAGGACATGATGTTATATGTTGGGAATGTGAGATTACTTAATTTTCTTATCTAATAAGGAAGAATAGCTAACATTTGTGAACACTTACCATCTGCCAAACACTGCCCTGAAAGTTCTTTACTGCATTGTCTCATTTAATCCCAACAGTAGCCATTTCAGATTTTTATCTGCATTTTATAAAAGAGGAAATTGAGTCTGAGAAGCAACTAAGTAGCTTGCAAAAGGTCAGGCAACTAGTTAGTCCCAGTTTGATTCTCAAGCCCAAATATATTACTGCTCTCTTCTGCCCTCTGTTCAGTCTGTTCTAGCTTAAAGTAATATTTATTCAATATAAATCAAGTAATTCATAGATATAATTTAAATTAAGCAGTATCCTGAAACTTAGAGTATTTTAATATTATTTTATGTTTCAAAAGTTGCAAGCATTTAAACAAAACTCATCAACCAAAACACAGTTTTCATATCTTTTGGACTTTCTTCCATAGTGTCAGCAACACATAAAATAGCCATATGAATTGAGGGGGAAAAGTTCTCAATCTTACTGAATAAAATTTTTGCTTCAGACATTTAGCCAATTTCTTTTCTGAGCTGCTAAAAGTCATTTGTATTTTTAAATAATCGCCATGGGCCTTAGAAAACCAAAACCAGTTGGTATGTTTATTTCTGTTCAAACTTATGCCACACAAACAACTTCTTGTCATGTACTGCAGAAGACAGAAAACCGTGACGCGGGGCTGTCGAGCCAGGAGTGGGTGTGGTACAGCAAGGCTCTGTGTGGCACATCCAACACTGCTGTTGCCTGTGGCCCTCTGTAGCCTCCTTGAAGCTCCAGCAATAGGCTCTAAGCTTCTGACTTGTTTCGTAAACTGGTCTTGTACGTTTGTAGTGTTAGCATCACTTTAATTTCTCCTTGAATCTTCTACCCGAGAGGTTGAAGTCTGTGTCTATTACCTGTTTTGTTTTCATTTTTCATTCTCTTATTTGGCTTTTTGTGGCATTGTACCAAACATTTATTAACCTCAAAGTCAAGCTGACCATGTAGGTATTGAAACCAGAGGAAATAAGCAATTGTCAAGGAAATGTAGTTAATAGAGGCTGGGTGAGTAACGAATCAGAGACTGAGGCAGTCAGAACAAAGGGTAAGGACTGTGGCTACCTGAGACAGGGGTACTGAAAAGTCGGAGGTCTGGGAGTTCAGAGCTGAGCTCCAAGACTCGAGTCATAAAAGTGAGAGAAATACAAGACCCAAGTTGAGTGGTAAATCACAGGTAAATGCTTCATAAGTTTTAACGTTGACATGACTTGATTTTCAGGCAAAGATTACTTCAGCAAGGAGATGAATATGTGAAAGGTTATAGCTCATAAGTAGCAAAGGAAGAATTGAAACTCAAGCCTGTAATTCTGGTGTCCATACTTCTATACCATACTACCTTTAAGGCAAGGAATGAGCAGACTGACCAGACCCAGAGTCAAGGTCATAGGCAAATAAAAGAATGAAAAAATTAGGTACACGTTAGAGTGACTTATAAAGTTTTACTTAGTCCAAAATTTCACATTGTAAGTGATAAGGCGCCTCCATGGGTTTCATGGGATGTTGGGAAGAAACAGACTATAGAATGAGTTTAGTAACATGTAGAAGAGGTCACAGTGAGGCCATTGGTTTAAAGGATGATATAGTTTCTTGAAGAGACAACTTCTTCGGTTGTACCTCCTTTTCTTCATCTCACACACACTTGCACCATAAATAACACTCTATGGGCCATGCTGCTTCGTGGTACTTAAGCTCCTTCAGAGAAGCATTCGCGCATCCTGGTGTTCTCTGCAGGCAACACCATGCTTCCCGTGTGCAGTGAGTGACTAGTTAAGATACCACAAATAAAGGAGTAACTGAGATTAGCTTTCTTGATACGGAGATCCTTGAAGCTGAGATCAAAACTCTGCTAGTTAAAGACGGCTAGAAGGCTGCTCTAAGCAAAAGGGAATGGTGCGTGCGAAAACCCTGCATGGGAGCAACAAAGCAAAACACAGACCTGAAGTCCTAAATGCCTGGAACAGCAGAAGTGAGAGGGCACTTGGATCAGAGGACCAGTCCCTATAGGCTCTTGCTGGCCATGTTTTTCTTTATGCTAAGAGCACTGTGAAGTCATCAAAAGGTTTTAAGCAAGGGGCAGTCCGATGAGGTTTGTGTTTTGAGAAGGTTACTTTGCTGACTTTGTAGTAAAGGGAACCAGAGCGAGGGTGGAGAAGCCAGATAGGAAGCTAATGGCAGGTTTCACATCGCAAATGATGGTAGCTCGGACTCTGGTGGTGATGTGGAACGGGGAGGAGTGGACCAAAGAGAGGCAGTTTTGTAGTTAAAACGACAGGGTCAGGGGACAGATTGGATTGAGGAGAGGGGCAGGGAAGAAGAGGGGCAAAGAATGACCCTAGGTTTCTGGTTCGAAACGGAATGGATAGCAATACCATTCTTTGAGCTAGGGAACACTGGAAAAGAGCCAAACTGGTTTTGGTGGGGGGAGACCGTGAGTTGGATGTAGACCTAAGAATCTGAAAATACCTTTGCGATACCCAAAAAGATATCAGGGAGGCAGTTGAGTTGATAGAATGGACTCAGAGGAAACGCGACCCAAAGAAAGATAGGTTTGCGTGTTACCTCTGTGCAGGTGGGAATTCTGACTCAATAGTTACACAGTCTGGGTTGTAAATCTCCACAACTGGACATCTGGCTATAATTTATCTTCACAGATGATTTAAAACTGATTGAGATTCTCTGCTCTAACCACTTAAAAAAATCAACATGTCTTTCTCTTCCTGCTCATACAAGTTGCTGATGTTGTCTGTTGTCTTTCTTTCTTATGGATGCCAAGTGGTATCCAACATCTTCCCATTTCTCTTATTTTCTTACAAGTTTTAGCTGACATCTCTCTCATGATCTCTCTCGACTCGTTATCTTTACCCATGACAATTCTTTTTCCCTTTGGCCTTCAACTTCCAGTTTCTGCAGTTCATATCTACTTGGTTGTCTTACCATGACTTTAAATGCAACATGTCCCAGACCAAACACATCTTTTTTGCAGCCTTTTCCCATTTCTTTTACTGTTTTCTTCAAGTCCTTGAAGCTAGAAACCTTGATGCCATTGTTGATTTTCTCAGGTTTATCCCTTCTTAATATCATAGCTGTCGGGTCCATGCTCTGGGTTTGGGATAGCTCTGTGGACTGCAGCGTGATGGTTAAGAGTGTAAGCTAGGCCAGGCTCGGTGGCTCAGCCTGTAATCTCAGCACTTTGGGAGGCCAAGGCAAGTGGATTGCCTGAGCCCACAGGTTCGAGACCCACCAGGGCAACTTGGCGAGGCCTCGTCTCTACAATAAAATAAACTAGCTGGGTGTGGTAGCACATGCCTGTAGTTCCAGCTACTTGGAAGGCTGAGGCGGAAGGATTGCTGGAGCCCAGCAGGTTGAGGCGGTGTGGCGTGCCACTGCACTCCAGTCTGGGCGACAGAGTGAGACTCCAACTCAAAAAAAAAAAAAAAAAAAAAAAAAGAGTGTAAGCTTAGGAGTCCAACCTGGATTCAAAACCCAGTTTCTCTGTCTCCAAGACCTTGGGCAACTTCCCCAGCTTCCCTGACTCCGCTATCTTATATGTACAATAGGCATAAAATGTTCCTTGGCCTCTAAGGTAGTTGTGGGGATTAGTAGTCATTCATGTGTGAAGCACTTAACACAGTTTCTAGCAAATAAGGGATCCCCTGTAAACGGTAAATAAATACTGTTATTAACGCCCCTCCCCTCTCTATTCTGTTTGCTGCAGATTACTCTTTTTAAAACACGGTTATTATGTAGTGTTACTTTCCTTTGTCTCTTTGTGTATTTTTTATACTACTTTTTACTGTAGCCATTGCTGAATTGGACTTCTTCCCCTTCTTAATAAGTTTTGGGGGGCAAGACTTTGTGTTGCTTGTTATTTTCTTTTCTTTCTATCCCATCCTCTACTCAAGTTCAGCACAGGGTCTTGTACCTCATGGATATTTAGTAAATATCATCTTGTACCTCATGGATACTTGGTAAATACCCAGTGAATCTCATTATGTCATTCCTCTACTCAGTTCTTACTGAGCACACTGTTCACCCATGCAGTTGGGACCACGTAATTGGGCCAGCTACCCAGCCTGATTTCCCACTGCTCTGAGAACCCACTTGAGTTGGCTCGATCCTTGGCCTGTCATTTTGACGCCGTCTCTTTGCCTTTGCTTGTCCCGACCCTGGCTCTGAAACGGCCTCCTCACTCGTCCTGCCTCCCACTTGGTCAGCTTTGTTTGGGGTCGGCCTTGTCGTGAAGGGTACCTTGACAGTTCCTGCCCGCACTGACGCAATTCCTTCTTTGAATTTCTGCAGCATCTACAGGGGCTGGGTACTGCAGCTGTGAGTCCTATCCGATCTTGGCTGTAGGTAAACTTCATCCAAAAAAGAGGAATAATGTCACCTGTCTCACAAAGTTATCGTGGAGGTGACATGAAACAAATAGGAAAAAGCGCTTTGTAAACGAGAAAGTACTGTGCATATTTCATTTGTTGTGTTTAGATATTTATCTTTTTAATGTCTGCAATCTCCTGAGGGCAGAGATTATATCTAATAGCTCTGTGTTTCTTCTAAATCCCCTCAGCAGTGTTAGAGACACTGTAAATGTTCATGAGATACTTGTTGTCTGGATAACCATATTTTGAATGTTTTTTTTTTCCTTCTAGGAGCTACTCATCACTAATGAAAGTTGAAAATATGTCTTCAAATCAGGTGTGTTCAAGTTCTTTTTCTAATGCTTGCCTTGAAATAATTCCCTAAGAATTTTTAATAACTGTGTTCCTGGCCATCACTGATGTCCATATTGTGAGTTGCTTACTGTGATCTGGCAGCTAGGGTACTCAGCTTATTCTGTTAGGATTGCCCCTCCCTCCCTGTGGACTTTCTCTTATGTGTTTTTGAGTAGGTCACTTCAGGGACAAAGATTGTCATACCTTGTCTACTGAGAGGTAGAGGGTCATTAGTAATTACAGAACTTTCTTCCATTCCTTTCTTCTCGATTTTCTAGTTGAAACTGAGTGAGAACAAAATCACCATCAATTAAAATAATGCTGCTGACCCTAAGATCTCATACTGTAGCCTAAGTAACAAAATGGGTTATTTTCATGCTCCCCAGGACTTGAGATAAAGAGAAATGGTGGCCCTTTAACATAGTACTGAAATAATCTTCTTAACATCCACATCTGATTATTTTATTGGAACTGTGTCAGACACTTACTGTCCTTGAGGGCTGTCTTTCCCAAAAATTTATTTCAAAATGTCTAGAGATAACATAGTTTAGCTGTTATTGAACAGTCCTTGCAGAAAATTGAAACTTGGTGGATATATTTGGGATTTCGCATGTTTTATAATGTAGTTTAAAAATACAGTTGTCCCTCAGTTTCTGTGGGGGGCTGATTTCTGGATCCCCCTGAAGATACCAAAACCCAAGGTTGCTCAAGTCCTTGATATAGAATGGTATAGTATTTGCATATAGCCTTTGTACAACCGCTTATGTACTCTAATTCATCTCTAGATTACTGATAATACCTAACGCAATGTGAATAGTTGTTATACTGTTTTAGTTATTGTTACAGTTGGTTTTTGTTTTTGTAGTATTTTTTCCCCAAATATTTTGAGCTGAGGTTGGTTGAATCCATGGATGAGGAAACTGTGGATATGGAGGGCCAATTGTAACAGATTTTAAGATCCCTTAAACGTCAGATAGTCAAACCCCAGATTTAGTGCATGCATTAGAATTAATAGAATTTTAGATCTTGTTTATATCTACATGTCCTTCTAAAAAAATGTGTGTGTGTGTGTGTGTGTGTGTGTGTTGGAGTCTCACTCTCTTGCCCAGACCAGAGTGCAGTGGCATACTCATGACCACCCCAGTGTCATCCTGCTGGGCTCAAGCAATCCTTTGGCCTTGGCCTTCCAAGTAGCCGAAACTATAGGTGCGTGTTACCGTGCCCAGCTTATTTATTTATTTATTGTAGAGATGAGGTCTCGCCAAGTTGTCTGGATTGGTCTTAAACTTGTGGGCTCCAGCAATCCATGCACTTCAACCTCCCAAAGTACTGGGATTGCAGGCTGATCCACTGAGCCCAGCCCCTTCTAAAATTTTATAAGAAAATTCTTATTCCCATCTCTGTTGAAGAGCTAAATTAATGAGGCTTCTTTATGCATCAGACAACATGCATCTTTGTAACTTATTCCTGAAAAAGTTCGGAATAGTATTATATAACTAAATCGAATCTTGAATTTTAAGTTTGGAGACTACAACTGCCACTTACTAATTGGAAAAGCAAAGACATGTATATGAAAGGCTTTCTTGGCGTAATCACTGAAATAAAAGTCGTTATTATTCCTTATCCTTATAGTCTTCTGTTGCTCTTTTCCCACAGAGTGTCAACATCAGAAGATAAGATATGTTTAGTTTCTTTTGGAAGCTATATTTAGATTCTTGAAACTATCAGTTGAACAATTAGACAGAAGTCTTTATTAATATACCACAAATCTTACCAATTGTGATGGCTCACCCCTGTAATCCCAGCACTTTGGGAGGTGGAGGCAAGACGACTGCCTGAGTCCAGGAATTTGAGACCAGTCTGGGCAACTTGGCAAGACCTTGTCTCTACAAAAAAATTAAAAAATTAGCCAAGTGTGATGGCACGCACCTATGGTTCCAGCTACTTGGAAGACTGAGGTGGAAGGATCACCTGAGCCCAGCAGGTTGAGGCTGAGGTAGCTGTGAGTGTGTCACTGCACTTTAGCCTGGGTGACCGAGTGAGACTCCTACTAAAAAATATAATAATAATAATAATAATACACTAACACACACACACCCACACACACACACACCATAATCTGATGTTTTTGTTGTGGTTATTTTTGCTTATTGAAGTTTTTTGTATTTTGGAGGCTTTTAATATCACCCCCATATTATGTTATGACCTTAGGCATTTTATTCTCATCATTATGGAGTTTTAAAAATTTGAATGTTGGGCAGATCCCCCCCGACTCTGGGAGCTTTTCTGGCCTCTCAATAAATCCTACTTTCTTTAAAAAAAAAAAACAGTAAAAATGCTTTGGATTAGGGAAAAAAAAATTTGGATGTCATTCTGGAATTGAGACATAAATAAATACACACACTCATCATATATAAACACCATCTGACTAGTGACTAATGTTAAAAGTTCTAAGAATAGGAAAGTAAATTTGTTACCCAAAAGATTGCCAACCTTTCTTCCCTTCCTGTCTCTCTATTACTTGCTACCTCTGTTCCTGAGCTCCAAGTATGAATCAAATTTAAGATTCCAAGAAAGTTTTAAACTGGGTGTTTTTTATTCTCTCTTTCAGTAGGAGGGCTTTTACTGTTTTTCTTCATACTCCAAAAGAATAGGCTAATTCACTTTGTAACCATCTTCTGTTAAGGGATACAGACATTCTGTGATCCACTTTGGCAGTAGGATCAGTTGATTTTCAAAGACAGGTTAGTTTATATAATATAGGACTTAATTTTTAGTTTAACTTATACCAGTTCATCAAGAAGAATAATTACTGCATTCCCAAGACATAGGTCCTCAGACAAATGGGAGCTCTTTGGAAATCTGACATCCTTTATAGGGAATGATGTACTTTCGTTGTTAATGACCCATACTGTCTTGAGTTGTTTGTCCTTGGTGTTTGGGATCTAAAGCTGACATTTGAAGATACTAAATGATGACTCTTTTAAACATCGTGAATGCTGTTATTTCAGCTTAGGATTAAAAGAAATCCTAGTCTTTGCACAGTTATTAAGGCATTGTTATGACCTCACCTCAGTTTATCGTGCTGATGGAAGCGGAGCACAGAGAAAACCACTGAATGAAGCTGGCGCTAAAACCAGAGTTCACGGAAACCATTGTTTCTTACCCATGTCTTGTACTTCCCTCCCATCTTTAATAAGGGCAGTAAAGGAGGAAAAAGGCATATATAAGCCTTAGTCCAGTCCCTTTCTCTAAAAATGCTGGTGCCAAGCCAAGGGAAGGAGATAGAAAGAAGATAAAGCAAGTCCGTGTTGAGGTTGTGATGTTGTTAATGAATGCTGGCCGAAAAGAAGTCAGAGCTCTGCCTTTGAGCGTGTTCTCAAGACTTATTTATACGCTGCCCAACAAAATTGGTCTCTTTGTGCCGTATACTGTCATATGGTTTTTTAAATAAAAATCTTGGTAAGCATGCTAACATGGTAACTAGCCTATATTTGACTTCCCATTTTTTTTTTTTTTTTTTTAAATCAAAGCCATCTTTTGAAGTCACAACTCTGTGACAACTTTGAGGCTCAAAATACTGGAATTTAGGCCAGAAATATTTTGCATATTTATTGAGGCAGTGTGTGTTTGGGATATTTGTTGAAATCTCGCTTTCTTATAGTTACACTTTCTTATAGTTGCACTTATTTTCACACTATTTCACAAGGTCAGGTGGAAGAATTTGGAAATTCGTTGGTTGCTTGTTGCTGTGTAATCAGGTCAGGGTGTGGCACCTTAAAGGGGATAGTTGCTCATCTAGCTCTTCCGAGAAACAGTTTATGATGGAGAATAAATGATGAATGAATTTATTCTTTTTTTTTTTTTTTGAGTTGGAGTCTTACTCTGTCACCCAGGCTAGAGTGCAGTGGCATGCTCACAGCCACCGCAGCCTTGACCTGCTGGGCTCAGGCGATCCTTCCACCTAAGCCTTCCAGGTAGCTGAAACTATAGGCACGTGCTATCATACCTAGCTTATTTTTCAATTTATTGTAGAGATGCGGTCTTGCCAAGTTGCCCAAGCTGGTCTTGAACCCCTGAGCTCAGGTGATACTTTCGCCTCGGCCTCCCAAAGTGCTGGGATTACAGGCTTGAGCCACTGCCTTTTTTCTTCTGAAGTAGGAGATTAGGGATGAGAAGGAAGCATGTTAGTTAATATTATAATTGTACATTTTAAATACTGGATTGTTTATTTTCAAGGTGTTTAAGGTTTCACTTTTCTGTCTCCCACAGGATGGCAATGATTCAGATGAATTCATGTGAGAGAAGAAAAGGAACTTTGAAAGATGTGAACGTAGAGACGGTTGCAGACCTTTTGATTTCATCTATGTTCTGAATTACACAAACCAACCAAAATTCTACCATCGTCCTGCACAGATATTATTAATTTTGGAGTTTTAAAAAAACTTTCTTTTTTTGTTGACAAAAAAGGATCATCTATATATAAAATAGTTGAACTTGACAGCATATAACTTAAGGAAAGCTAAAGTATTTTTGCCAGAACATATCTGGGTACTTTGTGAAAGCTGGCTGCCCTGTTCTTGAGACAGACTTCAGAACGAACTCTCTGTTTTTCTGTTGCTGCAAAGCAGATGTCTTGAAACGCTTCTCATATTCTTAAAATATCTTCACTTCTGTTAAGAATGTGTTGGTGGGCAGTGTATTCGAATATTTTCCCGTCCCTGATTTTCTGGCTAGAAAAAAAGGCATGGGTTTTAGAGATGAGCATGATCTTTTCAGAACATTTCTGGCGTCTCTTCACGTTTCCTCGTGCCGTTGGCGGAGTGAGCCTCAGCGCAGCTCGTCCCAGTGTTCACATCTTTGCCGTCTCTGAGCAGGGGCCTCATGTTAGCATCTTCACATTTACAGAAATAGTTGGTGTTTTTATCAGGGTTGGGCCTTGAGCACCAAGTAACTAAGCCATTGTATGTGATGACAAATTCTGGGCTCGGGGATCATTTCTCTGCACTCAGGAAGAAATAGGAAGGAGCGCTGTGTGAATCATTGGGGAGATGTAGATTGCCCGATTTTTGTCTTGAGACATGAAGCAAAAGTCCCTTTGCAGTTATGATTTTAGAAAGAATTAAGCATTTCACTAGCAAGCCAAGTACTTGTTTTTCTTCCTTGAAATCATATTTATTTTGATTTGTAACCCCAGAGTTCAGATTCCTCATTGTAGACTCCATAACTTAAAAGTAACATTACTGCTCATTTGAACCGCCCCCTATTCATGTGATTCTGATTAGATGATCTGTGTTTCTTGCAGCATGTAGGGTGACCTCTGTAAAAAGGGACAAAACAAAGAGAAGGAAAACCAAGGCTACAGAACAGGAAGCACAACTGACATTGTAACCACACCCAGAACTCTGCACATTGTGTTCTTGTTAACTGTATTCTAACTTAGCAAAAGTGGGCTACAGCAAATACCTCACCTGTGATAGCACTTTGGAACTGTGGGTAAAACCAGAAGACTAGTCTGTCCATTTATTCCAAGTTGGTGTATGGGGTTAAACTGGAAAATTCCCTGAGGCTCGTTGGCCAAATTTTGAGGGGGTATGGAGGATGACTCCAGAGATGAGTGGTTTTCTGTGTGTATGTGTGTCGATGATAATTCAGCCTGAAGATCTGCAATTTTAGAAGTTATAATAAAGTATCATTTTTTTCTGGAAAGGCATTGCTACATGAATTCTTAGAATTCTGAAAAGGGTAGCTTCTATCCACAAGCTGAGTTTGAGGGTGATCTTGTGGAAAACCTCATTTGTCTGAGGCTCAATCTGACAGGTTTTGGGGATGGTCATCTTCCTCCTCCACTGATCAATACCTCTGTGCTCCAAATGCCCAGGGGGTCAAAGTGGATCCCTTTCTCAGATTCTTCTGGTGGACGAAATGAGTAGCTGAGCCTCTTCCGTCAGGCCATCCTGCCTGGTTTCTGTAAGCCATCCTTTAACTCTGCTGCCGGCCCCTCACACGAGGAGGTTGTGCTTGTGGCATCACCTGTGTCACCCCAGCCTTCCCCAGTCCCTGCAGGGCTCCTCCATATCCCACATCGCAACCCATGTAGCTCGAGCTTTTGAAGACTACATCTGTTTTGACTGTATTGTGTGAGATCTTGGGTCCAAATTTTAAGCATTTCGTAACTCGCGGCTTACACTGGTCTAGAACAGTCAGGCCCTCTCTGCTGAACTCTCAGAGTTGAATTCCAGCTCTCACCTCTTCTGCTGTTCTGTGCTGATTTCCCCCTGCCTCTGCAAGTGCGTTTTATTTTTTCCCAATTCCCTCGGTCCCTGGGAAAGCAAGGACCTTTTCTTTTGAAGACATTCAGGTTCATTGCCAACAGGTCAAACTCTTGGCATTGGAGTCATCTCATTTCTTGCTATTGGCATGCTTCCTTAGTGCTCAATAGAATTCTAAATTGGTGCTATTTTTATGAGCTGTGCCCTTGATCAGATCCACGCTGTGAATCCAAGTCACCTTGCCAACTCTCCAGTTTCATCCCTGTTGGCGAGGGTCATATTACCATTTGATGTACTTCACAAGCTCTGCTCTCTTGTTATGCTCTGATAGCTTTAGACTTCTCGTTTCTCATTCGCCTTTGTTTGTCCAGGGTCATGATCTTTGGGGAAGGGAGGCCCTGTCAATGCTTGTGCTGAAACCAATGTTGGGAGGTTTACAAGAATAGTGACGGCTTTGACATTGGCAGAATAGGTGGCAGGCTTTAGTCGAACCCCTTCAGGATCTCTTCTGTTGTGTTGTATTGTCTTGAAATCATTCTTGAAGCTTAGATTCCAGTGAGCTTTTTACCTGATTGACGCTGGAAGGCTGCTGTGAGCCTCCCCGTACGGCAAGGTTGGAGAGGGAGCACCTGCTCCTAGCCTGAGACCAAAGCTCTTCCTCCCACTGTCGCATCTGTCTGAGGGGAACTGGGTGTCTGAGCTGGAACTGTTCGTTGGGAAACTTGCAGGGTGGTGGAACAATTTGTCAGTTTCTCCTGAGCTGTGAAATTGAAGCCTGCTTTTTTCCTTGTTTGATTTGAAGTACAGCATGTGAATAACACATTTCCGTATTCCAAAGGATCATATTAGCGTGAGTAGATGACCTTCTGATTTTAAAATGGACCTGACTGTAATCAAAAAGTGTAAAATTAGAAACTTAAATTTCAAACTAAATCTCAGTCTTGACTCAGAAAAGAGGGCAGCGCCACTGTCACCCGGGTAGGTTCACATTCAACTTGCACTCAGAGCTCTTGTCTGCTGGGTATGGGCAAGAGACTTACGGGCATTCTGTCATTTCAAACATGGGACGATGCCAACTGCAGAGACAGCATGCCCTGGGTGAAGGATCTGGAAAATACAGTAAATCTTCTAGTTTGAGTAGAACTATGTGTGTGTGTGTATGTGTGTGTGTGTGTGTATGTGTGTGTGTGTATGTAAGATTTCATTTTTGCTTTCTACTCCAAGGTTCAGTCTCACTGATGGGATGTGCATGCTTATTTTAGGCTAGGTGAAGAGGAAGAGGGAGGTTCTTGGACTACATGTGATGAAGCCCTTCACATGGTCATAGCAGGAGAAGGAACAAATCAAAGTGGAGGGAAGTTTGCCCAAGAATTCCAGGAAGAGGATTGAAGAATCCAGAGCTAAAAGGCCATGGTGTGGTGTGTGTGTTTTGAGTCGGGGTCTCGCTCAAGACTGGCTGGAGTGCAATGGCACAGTCACAGCTCATAGCCTTGATCTCCTGGGCTTAGGTGGTCCTTCTACATCAGCCTCACGAATAGCTGGGACTCTTGGTGTGTACCACCACACCTGGCTAATTTTTTTATTTTTGTAGAGATTCTTCACTACGTTGCCTAGGCTGGTCTCGGACTCCTGGGCTCAAGCAGTCTCTCGCCTTCGCCTCCCAGAGTGCTGGGATTATAGGCATAAGCCACCATGCCTGGCCAGGCCATGATATTCGAACACTAGCATTTAGAGTCAATAACTGGTTCCCCATCACTCCCAGAATTCCTGGGGGTCTGCCTGAAATTCTGGCCAAGGTGAGACTGCAATACAAAGACTTCTGGCATGGTTTCATGAATGAATGCAGGGCTCTGGACAGTGTTAATAGATTTTCACCCTTTTTTTTTTTTTTTTTGAGTTAGAGTCTTACTCTGTCTGCCAGACTGGAGTGCAGTAGCCGCTCCTGACCACCGAAGCCTCGACCTGCTGGGCTCCGGCGATCCTTCCACCTCAGCCTTCCAAGTAGCCGGAATTACAGGCATGCGCTACCACGCCCGGCTGATTTTTGATTTATTGTAGAGATGAAGTCTCGCCAAGTTGCCCAGGCGGGTCTCGAACCCGCGGGCTCAGGCAATCCACTCACCTCAGCCTCCCAAAGGCACAGGATTACAGGCTGAGCCACTGAGCCCGGCTTCCACCCTTCTTATGATAGAGCCTACTCTAATGTGAGAACATTTGCAGGGAAATTTGAGGGTCGACGGGGTTGCACAACCATACAAGTTTTCCTCCCAACTAAAAAAAAATATTTGAATTCGTAAATGTTTGTTAGAGCACATTTGGGTTACATTTCTAGGCAAGGCAGCACCTGCTTCCTTTAATTTTAACTGCCCTAACTGCCAGAATTCTGGGGTTTAAATGTTTGAGTAAATTAATGTATGTGGGGAATATAGTTTGAAACCAGAATTCCCTTTCAGAAAAACTAAGAGTTCTTTGTATGTACTGGGTGACAGCAGTCACTGAAAATACACCTACCCGATGCCATCTCTCAACTATAGTTTATCATTAGGTTATGCATACCTCTGTTTTCTGTCTCACATTGATTGCTTAGTTTTGTCTGAGTTCGTTGTTGTATCAGTCATTAGAGTGCCTCTGAGCTTTCTACCTTAGTGGTTGTGACTATAGGTCTGTACCATAGCTGGTGAAATAACAAACTGGTCTCTGCCATGGGCATGTGCTGAGTGGCACTAACCCAGCATTTTCTGTGTTTGTTAACAGCCAAGGAATGGTGGCCAGGGGAAATTATTGCTCACTCTAGAAATCCGTGCTGCTTTTGCTAGTTCTCAAGCCTGGTGAGTGGGTGTCAATATTTAAGGCTGAAGGAAAGGAATTCTCCAAAGTCAGTATTATGTTTTGTTCCGACATCAATCCCACCTTGTAACCACTGCAGTAGAAATACAAGACGGCCTGACATCTCACATCCTGCCAAGATGAGACCTGGGCCGCCCGGGCTCCTGCCGCTGTTTGGGTTTCCGCCTTGGCTGTTCGCCTGGCATGGAGAAGGCTAACATTTTGCTGTTAATTCCAGAAGAAAACTGGGCTCTTTCTCTCAGCAAAGGCTGATCCGGTCAGTCTGGAAGAATTTTGACCCTTGGTGAAGACACAATCCAGGGTCAACAAATTAAAACTACAGACTGAGAAAGATAGACAGCAAATCTCATTAAAGGCACAGTGCTCTTAGCTGGGCTCAGTGTCTCAACCTGTAATCCCGCGCCTTTGGGAGGCTGAGGTGAGTGGATGTCCTGAGCCCACAGGTTCGAGACTCACCTGGGCAACTTGGTGAGACCTCAGCTCTACAATAAATCAAAAAATAAGCCAGCTTGGTGGCTCAGCCTGTAATCCCACGCCTTGGGAGGCTGTGGTGAGTGGATTGCCTGAGCCCGCGGGTTCGAGACCCGCCCGGGCAACTTGGCGAGACCTCATCTCTACAATAGATCAAAAATTAGCCAGGCGTGGTAGTGCGCAGCCGTAGTTCCGGCTACTTGGAAGACTGAGGTGGAAGGATCACCAGAGCCCAGCAGGTCGAGGCTGCGGTGGCCGGGAGCGGCCACTGCACTCCAGTCTGGGCGACAGAGTGAGACTCCAACTCAAAAAAAAGGCACAGTGCTCTTGCACCGGCCTGGCCTTGCCAAAAGTCTTCCACCATGAAACTCTTGGCTTCCTATTACAACATCCATTCAAAACTACGAAGTACTTATTATTTGGTTAATGGACTTAGCATCAGTGAGGCACACATATGTATTTCAAAACTAGGATTGTTTTTAGGAGAGTCGTTGGAAAGAGAGGGAAGGTCTGAAATGGACAAAGCTTGAATTTGGTTACTTAAGAGGCTTTCCTGGCCGGGCTCAGTGGCTCAGCCTGTCATCCCAGCACTTTGGGAGGCCAAGGCAAGTGGATTGCCTGAGCCTGCAGGTTCGAGGCCAGCCTGGGCAACTTGGCAAGACCTCATCTCTACGATAAATTTTAAAAAATTAGCCGAGTGCGGTAGCACACACCTGTAGTTCCAGGTCCTTGGAAGGCTGAGGTGGAAGGGTCGCCGGAGCCCAGCGGATCGATGCTGGGTTGGCCGTGAGCGTGCCACTGCACTCCAGCCTGGACGACAGAGTGAGACTCCAAAAAAAAAAAGAGAGACTTTTCTGATGCCAACAATTAGAAAATGTTTTCTGTTTCCAGCAAGGGGGAAGGAGGTGCACGTTCCTGTCCCCCAGCCTAAGGTGAAACTGCTCCCTGTGGGGTCTTTTTTCTGCCACATGTAGAGTGTTACCTGCTGTGTTTAAAACCAGTGCTTGATTGGGGCTTTGTAACCCAGGAAAACGGAAGAATATATCAATTACCTGGACTTTTTTGTTTCTCTCATTGCTATCAAAGAAGACACCGGCTGGGAAAGCAGCTATCCTATAT